TTAGTAGCTTTTATTAAACGGAAGTCAAGGCCAGAGAAATTCGGCGATCAGTGGAGCTTACAGCCAAAGAATATATTAAGATCGTAAAATATTAATTCGAGAAAACAAAACAAAAACAGATTTGGGTTTGTTTGCCGATTTCACGTGAGATTTAGGTCTATACTCCGGGAAACTCAGCTCTCATATTTATCAGATTAGCTCTTCCATTTCTTCAGCAGTTCAAACTGTTTACGATTGCAAACGAGTATATTCACTTTCACTTTTCTGTTTCAATGTCTTTGCAGCCTGATTATGACTTCACACACTTTCAGGGTTAAAAAAGTCAGTAATATTTAACTCAACGAGAGACTAGGAAGACTCCTCTCGATATTGACGTTAGAATATGGCGCTTTTACTGATCTTCATCCGTGACCCCAAGAAGCCAAACCATGCTTTCAGTTTCTCTTTGAAATGCACCGGGGCGAAACCTAAATTCTACCTTACTTCAAGTCTTCCTCTCTGTTCGGAATAATGGCATCTTATTCCAAATGTGGGTGGTAAATTATCATCTAAGCCAAAATTTAAGCTTATTTCCAAGGATAGCTTAACATCAAAACAGTCCTTGCTCCTATAGAGTGTAAACTGTGTAATTAAAATATGAATGTGTTCTATGACCAAGTAACTGCCCCGTCGCCAGTGGCCAATAGAAATGTTTCTTGTTGTCAATTACTCTCGGGTCAAATTCTGGTCATAAATGTGGATTATAACATAGCTAAAAAATTCGCCTAATCAAATTCAATAGCGCGAGCGTGCTTCATATTCCTATTGAGCACGCTGATGACGTCAATAAACTATTCGTAATTCCTCGAGTTGTTGTGAGCTTAGCAATCCTGAATCTCCTGAGTGCATCCATAACTCAGCAATGGATAATGACGCGTTTACCATGTGTTTTATAAGGAAATTTGAGAGGAAACGTTTGAATTTGTTAACCGATAGTAGTGAAAAGAGGTGAGTGTTGTTGTTGTTGTGATCTCCGCGAGCTGTGCGGGCTATGGCGTGAGATCATTCTTTGCAAAGTTGTTTTCTCTCAATGGCAATTTTTCGGTAAATTAATAGTTTTCCGGCACCTAAATATGGATTTTACAATCATTTTAGAGTAAACTTTCTCTCAGTTTCAGGATAAAAACACAAGATTAACTGTGAGGAAAAAAAATATATAGTCACGTAAACATTGACGCGTACTGCTTTGAGCGCGCCCAACAATAATAAAATTTTAAGTTAACTGTTGCATTGACCGCTTTGATAATGTTATAAAACAATTAGTTCATGCTGCAGCTGTGCGTATGTCGAGATATTGAGCACTTGGGAAGTTTGGAGAGCACTCAAGAGGCTAGAGTTGCACTCGGCTGCGCCTCGTGCAACTCTTACGCCTCTTTCGTGCTCTCCAAACTTCCCGCGTGCTCAATATCTCGACATACGCACGCTGACGCATGAACTAATTGTTAAAGAAAGTATAAGTATAGAAAATCGTATAAATGCGAGTGCATTTTAGTCTTAATTTATGGGCACTAGTGAAAGTTTTCGAATTGATGAGTGTAATTTGAAGACTTTCAGACCATCACTGGTGATCATAATTCACGAAATTCACGTGCAGTTCTTACGATTTTTTGCTTACAGTATTCTCAACATATTTAATCTTTTTCTGATTTGACTCTGTACACACACCAAGCCACTCCTCACATTTTTAAATTCAACCAATCACTACGAATCTTGTGACAGGCAAGTCAAGAAGGAAATTTTTGAAGCTGTACTGACAACTTCGACTTTTGACTTCAGTTCTCTTTTTCGGTGCCTTTGCGTTGGGTGCTTTGTGGATTTTCTTTCCAATTTTGATGTTGTCCTTGCCACAAAATATTCCTACTTTACACATGGTTCGTTATTTTTTTTTAGGCTCAGTTCTCGGCCATAAACATTTCTTCTTATTTACGTTGTTAGATGTTCCCTCTTCTGTTGTGAACTTTTACTGATAAAACTCACAGTTAATAGAAAATCCAGTACCTGTAGCTATGTTGCAGATGTTCCCTAGTCTCCTTTGTATCTGCTCAGGCTGGGGTCACATGAAGCATGCATTGCGTGACTCCGGCCCGAGTGGCTTTAATGTCGGTGTACGGATATCATTAGATCCCATCGACCTCAGCCCCTTTGGACACCTCATGAAATTTACACAACGTAGTTTTCCCCTTTACTAATTAGGGTTAAGCACTGCCTTTACAGATTAGGGTTAATAAACACTGCCTCTACTGATTAGGGTTATGCACTGCCTTCGATGATTAGGGTTAAGCATTGTTTCGAAACTGGTTAGGTTCTTTTTTTGGGGTTGGGTTGATGCTATATGTACTTAAATTATTTCATTTCTATCCAGCAAATCCTCAGTCGTCTAGTGGTTAGTGTAGTATACTGGACCAACTAGGTTGTGGGTTCCAATCCCACTGTCTTTCATATATTTTTTTTTCTTTCAAATTGAAGAGACTTGCACTTTCATGAACATTTCCAGCTTGAAATATCATCCAAGTGTGATATAAAAGCAGAAAACAGTTCTACCTTGTGTAAATTTCATGAGGAGAGAAGGGGGCTATGGCCAATGGGATCTAATGCTGTACAGCCCCTGAAATGATCCCGACCCCAAAATGATCCCCAACCCTTAAATGATCCCCAATTTGACCCCGAACGTGCCCGAACATTTACCGAGAATTTCCGAAGATTTCCGAAGATTGCCGAGCACTTTCGAGGAAGACCCGAAAATGTTTCGATGATACACCAACGAATTTAAGTACAATTTAAGAGACAAACCTGATGTCAGTGAAATTATCGATATCTTCACATGTAAAAATATCGTATTTTTACGTGTGTTCAGATACCACATTTCTCGGTGGTAGAAATCCTTGTAAAACACTGCAGTTTATATAATAAAATTTTTTATATTCGTTTGTACATAGATTATATATATATATATTTTTTATCAGTATTTTTTTTAATACTAGATTTTTATTATAATTGTAGATTTAATGCACGTTCGTATTTTGAACGAGCACTTGTGCTCTTAGACGATAACGTGGGTAAATAAATTATTGATTGATTGATTCAAGCTTATGAAGGTCGTGCTGGTTGTCTTCTCTCAGACTTCTAATTTACTTTAAATTTGCCTAAATTGACCAAGCTTGTTAATTATAATAATAATAATAATAATAATAATAATAATAATAATAATAATAATAAAGTCCTGATTCATCAAAACATAAAAGACATATCTTTTGTTACAAGTAAGTGTACAACATTTTAAAAAGGTAAAAAGTAAGAATTAAAAAATCTAGTATATTACATAGCTAATTCATATTTAAAAACTACACTATTAATAAAAGAGTTTTTAAAACGCATAGTGTTAGTCGTAGGTTTAAAACAAGTTTCTTTCCTGAGATTGTAACTGGACGGTTTAACAGGAGGCATAATAGATAAAAGTGGATGTCCTTTAGCATGAGAAACTTTTCAAAATTTTACGGTCCTGCCTCTCTAAGAAATCATAAACACTTACAGGCTTATACCTACATTTTCTTTTAAAACAGCGGTCTAAGAAACATTGTACAGGTGCAAGATCGGACTCGGACGCGGCGGAGACAGATAATGCATAATAAATATTAGGTAGAACTATTGTATCAAAGGGAAGGTCTATTTCTGTCTGATTGTACCCCTCTTTGCATAGCGTTCTAAGCATATGTAGGGATTTGTTAGCTTTAGTAAGTTTGTTCTTCACGTGCACTGAAAATTTGCTGTCACATTGACACATCGTTCACAACGAACTTCTTTAGAGCTTGGTATCATCCCAATTGATCGTCAACTCTTTACATTTGCTTGGGTTGCAAGACATTCCATTTGTGTCTGTCCAATCTAAAAACTGTTACACTAACTGATCGTAGTAGTCTACCTCCTTCCATACAGGAGCAATAATTGTCGAATCATCAGCGTACTTAAATGACCTTAAATAGCGCGTCATGATTACCTAAAGTGATGTTAAGATCATTGAGAAAGATGTTAAAAAGGTAAGGACCTCTAACGCTACCTTGAGTTCTCTCGATTGTTCGGTCAAGATGGCTTGACATTGGCCAAGTTCTTTTCGATTCTTCTTCGCTTATTCATGGAGAACTAGGCCGTAATATACAAGGTTCGTAATTGATACACGTCCTGCATATTGACAGGCACCAGTGTAAAGAGTGTATTGTAAGAAATAAAGAAAGATAGTGAATAATAAGCCTGAAATGCGTGAATCGCAGAACCTCGACGACCCATGCCATCACTAATAATAATTGTAGTAGTTTTAATTTGAGGAGTGCACCAGTAGTTAGTAAGTGGATAAAATAGTGGGAGGTAATGCTGCAGTGATAACAACAAGTAAAATAAAATGCTGGTCCTACAGCAGTGAGAGTTTTTGTGCTTGTTTGAGTACATACTATTGTTTGTAACAGTAAGGTGCAAACATAACAAACAAACAAATATTTTATATTTATTGAGATGTTTTCACTTTTTCCTTTTGTCGTTTATATCTTTAAATCTTTTTTATCTGTTATTGTTTTTTGTGTTGTTTTTTTTCTTTTCATCAGGGCCCTATTTCAAACCAGCCTCGCTGAACTGGGCACCCCTGAATAAATATTGCTCGAAATAAAACTAAATAAATATCTTAAATCACTTTTTTTAGATCCTACGGCAATAGTTTCTAATATTACGTTATTTTAAGGGGTACAATATTAGTTGACCTGGATGTGCCTCTCTCCATCGCATTCTTCATTTTTTATTCTCTTTGTGACAAACTAGTTAAGATCATTACATTTAAACTTTCTATGCCTAAGCACGAACGTTTGCCTGTGATTTATCTTCTACTGTTGATAATGAAACATAAAATGTCTAAATGAAATGAAATCAGTACTCCCATATGGCAAATATGTAAAACAGTTATGGGAATTTAATATGTCTTCTATTGTTATACTGATATTTTTAACATGTATAAATAACGTTTATCATCATCATCATCGGTCAACTTACTGATAATTTGATGTTGTTATTCTGAGGTAGTTTGGCAGTTTTATGAGGAAATTTAATAACTGCTGGTGTATCAACTTATTGTTTCTACGACACGTTCATTTGTCGTGATAGTACCTTTGATGCTCGCAGCATTTCACGACAATTTGCAACCTCTAGGTATATCTTTTATTTCATTTCGGTGTTCTCAATTAATAACCAAGGTTATTTTGAAATTCATTTCAAAAGGTATGGCGTCAACTGATCTTAAATCCTGTTCCACTGAAAACGCTGGAAAGTTTCTGAATAAAGAGGGCAAACCAGCTAGTGGCGATGCTTCAAGACTGGAATCTACGTCTTACTTAAACGGCAATTCAGTGAAGACCACTGCTCATGAAGTGGTTTCTTCTACCACAGAACCATTAGCTGAAAACAAGGGATCTGATGTGAAAAAAGAACGGGTCGGAATGGAGATTTCCAGAAAGGAGGAAGAGGAAAAGTGTGGTATTACTGTGGAGGCAAGGAGTGGACACGAGAAAGAACGTCACCAGCAGGAGTCTGAATTGTTTTCCAAACGTAAGTTAGTTAATAGTTTAAAGTTGTCTACTTACAAATGTTTCTTGAGAAGTTGTTGACGTGTTATTGTCTTCGAATCACAGTAGGAAGAGAGGCAAATGTTGATGACCCTGGAGATGCAACCTTTTACTGGTGCAGTAAGCTCTCTGAATATTTGAAAATTTACTTTGTTCTAATTTTTATCAACTATAGTTACACCCAGGAAATTTGGTACCAAAGGGGAGGATACTACATATCAGAGAGGCGGTGTCCTAAATGCAGTAGAAAACAGGGTAGTGGAATTCAAATCTCTTACTGGTACACAAACTGCAAAGCTCCCTTGGAAAATCATGGAACTAGCGAAGGAGTTCATATGTGGCTGTTTAAATGGAAATAGGAAAGGAATAATCTACTTCGGAGTTGGAGACTCACAAGAACGATGTTCGAAGTTTAAACGGGGAGAAATTCTCGGACTTGATATGGAAAGTGTCATTGATGATGTGGTGAACGCTTTCCAAAATGTTCTAAACGATCACATAAAGAGCGATGCGGGCCCACTTCAAAAGGGAGGGGAGCAGAATTGTGTCAACATGGAGTTTGTTCCAGTAGTAAACCAGGAAAGCGGTACAGGTCTTTACGTCGTCGAAATTGAAGTGAATCGAGACTGGAAGTTCTGCAAGGACCACATCTACTATTACAGAACTTGGGTTGAAAAAAAACGAGGCCGTGTAGACAAAGATAAAGATACGCCCAAAAAGAAAAACCTGAGAGAGTTTTACGAAGTAAAAAAAAGATACGATAACGTTGCTATTAGGGAATTTGGCTCTTCGACTAACCTGAAGCAAGGTGAAGTTCATGCCCAGGTAAAAGAACCCCTTATGGTAGGGTACGCGGCGTGGCAGAGAGAAAGATTAGGTTAGTGTATGTTCTTGCCACAGGTGATGTGACTTTAACATAATATTTAAATTACCTTAGCCAAGAATTCAAAGGAAAGTTCCTTGACTCCACTTTAGGATAATTCAACCTTGATTCATCTGTGTGGACCGGCAGTCCCTCAGTTTACCATGGGACTGACTGTGAAAAAGGTGATTGACGTTGACGATGCTATGAGAATACCAAGTAGATTTGTTGCTAGAACAGTAACAACAAATGGGTTTTCATACAAAAACACGCGGTGGGGCTTTAAAATAGGGTGCAAATGCCCCACCCTGAGACTAGACTCCAAAATTGCATGGTCCAGTAATTAAGCTACAAGGGCCATATTTATAGGAAATCTGTAATAATCTGATCAAAATGCGTGAAACATCCTTCGCAAATTGCCCCTATTCGCTAGTTATAATTATTACAAAAACGATCACATTGATCTGATTAATATCAACGACAGAACTATAAACTAGAATTTTAATAATACCTTTCTTATTGTCGAAGGTATTTAATATAGTGAATGATAAACAAAAAAACGACGAGCTTAACATCAGTATCTTCCCATCACGATGGAACTGTTTCGTCAACGTTGACTGTCGCATTGATCGTACAATAAACGAAGATTATATCAACTTTCAAATATTTCGCAGAGTCTTTGTAGGCCTTTCTGCCTCAACCGATTCGCTCACAAAGAAAGAGTCTTTTCCTTTTAACTCTTCAAACGATGCATTGATTGGTTTTCCTCCAAGTGCAAACTGTTCACGATGGCGGGAAACGATTTCTCAACCGGATGCAAAAACTGCTGTGGATTAGGGTGGTGATGGAGCGAAAACCACGAGGAAATTTTTAAAGCATACATATTAAAAATATAGTTCTTTATAAAACTATCTATAGTTGTCAATAAGCAGAGTATCGAAAAAGGTAAAAAAGGAACAATGTTAACCGCTTCAAGAAGAATTGACAAATGCCCCACCCCCGTGCAGAGGCTTCTGACAAATTCCTCACCGCCGGGACCGACAAGATGACAAATGGCCCGACAAATACCCGGGGGGATGGGGGAGGATGGGCACACTTGGAATTGACTGAGCCATAAGCTTGCCTTCCCGGGACAAATTTATCAAATCGCTATCATTTAATAATGGCCATGAAACAGTGCAACATCTTTTAGGTTTACATGAAGGATTGAACTACTAATTCTAATTCTTCTTAATAACAAAGACAAAACATCAAGCTTATGAAATTAGGAAAAGGATGATATTTTTATATCCCAATTGTCACGCGAGTAACATGATATATCTGACACGCAGACTGATAATGATCTTGAATCTTGAGTCGAGTTTTGTCAGCCGTCAGCCTAACGTTACAATTTTAAAAGTAGGTTGAGTTTGATCGTCCTGGTGAACGTAGTCCTGAATAGGACTGTTGTTGTTGACAGTGACTGACGTTTCGACAACCTGTGCGGTAGTCATCTTCAGAGTCAAAGTGAGTTGTATCACGTCAGTTGATGGTATTATTCTCTGGTTATTAACCTCTGCCATTCGGCAAAAATGCTCACCGCCCACTTGTTTTTATACTTAGTTGAAGCTGGAACGGCGTCATTCACCAGAACATTTTCTTGAAAAGAAGTTTTAGGAACGCGAAATCGTTCTGATCCGGACTCCACCTCCATCACGCGCCGTAATGTTAATCTACTAAAAGCTTACTAAAAACCCGCCAGCATGGCCGCATATTAAATATTCATTTCATTTATCACGAATAAGAAACAAATAATAGCCTACTGAGCACGTCTTCTAATTACCTATTCTTCGGAAATAATTCCACTAAATTCTCTCACTAGTTTGAGAAGCCAGCTCAAAAACTCGTGCTTCGGTTTTCATCAGGGGTTCCAAACACCTCGAAACAATAAAAGCACTCCGCCTTCGGCGTCGTGCTTTCATCCGTTTTTCGGTGTTTGGAATCCCTGATGAAAACCGAAGCACGAGTTTTTGATCTACTACTTCAAAACCGTTCGAAAACATGAGAAGCATGCCGGTGGACAACCTACAATAAAGAAAAAATGTTTGTATACTCACTAATCGAATCGAGCAAAAACAAACAACAGTAGCTGAAAAAAAAATTTTTCGCTCTAAAGAAATACGTACCTCGAAATTATTCACCTGACTTGCCAGTAGCAAGAAATATTATCAGTTAAATTTCAGTGGTTCAACAGTATGAACAGGAGGAAATTACGCATTTGATTGTTATCCTAAAAGAAAAAAACAAACGAAAAACACACTTTAGTCATCTGACTTATTGAACAGCACAAAGACAACGACGGAAGCGGAAAAAAGTCGCCAAATCTTTACCTGACCATGCATGAACCTGAGCGGGTCAGGACAAATTTAAATAAAGATGCCAACCCGTCAATACAGAAAGTCCAGAATCTGGGAAATGAAAGAAAATAAATAAACAAAAAGCCTTGCCAAGAATCTGGTCTTTGCGCTTGTTCAAATGCAAGATATTCGGAAAAGGTAATGGATTCATGATAACCGTCACGAATATACAGACGTATTTAGTGATGACTTAGTATACTATGATAAAGTTGATGTTTGGTGTAGTTGGTGTAGTTGCTGTAGCTGGTGTAGTTAGTGTATCTGGTGTAGTATGTGTAGTTGCTGCAGTTGCTGTAGTTGCTGTAGCTAGTTTCAGGGGCGGATCCAGGATTTTTTTTAGGAGGGGGTGCACTCGTCTCTTGCTCTACTTCAACACCAATAAACCACATAGTTTTTTTTTTTTTTGCAGAATACCAGTTGTATTAGAAAACCGCAGGTCATCTCGGGGGGGGGGGGGGTGCGCACCCCCTTCACCCTCCCCCTAGATCCGCCCCTGAGTGTAGTCGGTGTAGTATGTGTAGTTGTTGTAGCTGGTGTAGTTAGTGTAGTTGCTGTAGTTTCTATAGCTACTGTAGTTAGTGTAGTTGCTGTAGTTGCTGTAGTTGGTGTAGCTTTTGTAGTTGGTGTAGTATATGTAGATAGTGTAGTATATGTAGTTAGTGTAGTTTGTGTAGTTACTGTAGTTAGTGTAGTTACTGTAATTACTGTAGTTTGTGTAGTTGCTGTACTTACTGTAGTTGGTGTAGTTCATGTACTTGCTGTAGTTAGTGTAGTTGGTGTAGTATGTGTAGCTGATGTAGTTGGTGTAGTTAGTGTAGTTGGTGTAGTATATGTAAGTGGTGTAGTTGCTGTAGTTGGTGTAGTTTATGTAGTTAGTGTAGTATATGTAGTTACTGTAGTTAGTGTAGTTGGTGTAGTTAGTGTAGTTTGTGTAGTTACTGGAGTTACTGTAGTTTGTGGTTGCTGTACTTACTGTAGTTGGTGTAGTTGATGTAGTTGCTGTAGTTAGTGTAGTATGTGTACTTGGTGTAGTTAGTGTACTTGGTGTAGTTAGTGTAGTTGGTGTAGTATATGTAGTTACTGTAGTTTGTGTAGTTGCTGTA